CAAATAAAATCCTTTTTAAAATAAAATCTTTTTAAACAAACTTTTGATAAAGTTAACAAGCAGTTTTCTTTGTTGTGAAAATCTCTGATTATACGGTTTTATCAAAGCTAATGTTTATCAAGTTGTTGAGATAGTGGATTAGTGAGATAAGGCTAGGAAACCTCCTTCATGATCACCATCTGTCAAGATAACTCCACAAGTTGTTAGTGGGGTGTTGGCATGTGGACGTGATTATAGTGGAGGTTAATGACTAAGCTTTCTCTATAAATACTCATGCAAACTATCTCAGTAAAACATAACTCTTGAGCATAAAAATTCCAGTAGCAACTTACTAACATAAAGAGAGTTATTTTCCTTCATATATTCTTGAGTGTAATAGGTATTTGTAATTACAGATTGTATTCAAGTACTTTGGGGTTGGGATTGTGAGTTTGTGTAAGGTGAGGTCAAGGAAGCTTCGCTGCTGAAGTCTTCTGTGAGAGTTGGGAACAAGTTCCTAGTTTATGGAACTTGTTAACGGGTTTGAATCTTCACTTGTAAAGAGTTTGATTACATAGTGGAAATTTAGAAAAGCCTATATCTTCTCTCGTCATTATTTCATTTAGTTAAATTCCGCAAAAAGTTTTTAGATTTCACCTCAAATACAATTCACCCCCCCTCTTGTATTAGCCAGTTAGACTTTCAGTTGGTATCAAAGAACCTGTTTCCAGTTTACACCAAAAGCCTAGGATTACTACTAACACGTAACACAAGATGATCCCCCAATTTTAAAGGTCAAAACGAGTCAACTAAGTGATTGTTTGGTTTACATGGGAAATTAAATTGTTATTGAAAGTTATAAATTACATTTCATTGGAAATTAATTCCCACAAGCAATTCATAGGAATTTATAATCATTTAGGTATAAATCAAAGGGAATAAAAATTTCTATAATTTTTTTTAACTGATCAAAGAGGCTTTAGTGATTTACTCACCATATGTTGTAAGAAGCCTTTTTTTTTTTTTTTTTTTTTTTTTTTTTTTTTTTTGAAGAAGCCTAATATACCCAAGAATTTCTTTTCCTCATTTTCAATTTTTGTTGTTAACCAAATGCTCCAATTGCAAGTTGCCCACACTTTTAAGTTCTGGTTTGATTAACAATTGAATGAGGAACTGAAAATTCATGAAAATTGATTGATTAGGTATAAATTTCAAATCAACGGATTTGGATTCAAATCTTGATCTGCATATAATAAGCGAAACTAGATCTAGATCCAAACTCACAAATAAATAGTGGAGAAGTAGAAATTAACCATAATTCACATTTCCAACAATATATAAAATAGATTACATAACCCACCTTTTGATTAATCAAAATCCATGTAAACTTCAAAATTAACTCAAATGTCAACCGAACAAGCATTAAATATTAACCAAACGGAAAAAACATTAGGTAAATACGATCCACTCCACAACAACATGACCCACCCAAATCAACATCCTCTCTAGTCTCTATAGTGTTATAATCTATTGACTCTACTCCACGTTTTTCTCATAGAAAACAACATTAGGATTCACTTCTCCGCACTATAGCTTCGGGGCACATACATTTTTCTATGTATATTGATAGAATTTTAAATTAAAGCAAGATTTGTTACACAAATTAGTTAATACTTAATAGTTCAGATTGAGCTTCCCCCAGCCATTTTCGTTAATATTCAAGCATCTTTCAATATTTTAATATTTTCATGTTTTGTAGCTGACATGACACATAACTGTTAACTGTTAACGTCTGTTTTCCCTTCTTCCTCATCCTTCCTTGTCAACATAACAATGGCAAAATTTTTACCAACATCTCAGACAACAACCCAACACCAAGACATACAGGAACCCCGACCCACCATTTCAGCGGTCGTTTCCGGCGGCTCCGCCGCCAAATTTTACGAAAACCCTGAGGAAAAAGTGAGAAATATAGGGCAATGTTAACCCCAAAGGGTAGGTATTTTATCTTAGGAGCCGTCAATCCATTGAGCTGAGCTTCGTCGGATCTGAAAAGTGTTGAGCTTTGCTAGGTAATTGTACCAAAATTTGACCAAATTCGAATCCTCCAATCTACCCTATTAGCAATGAAATTCCTAATTTGCGACGCTTCAAATTCTGTCAAAGGAACAATTCTACAGAAAGAAGAGTGAGAATTGCAGCAAAAGATCTTGGGAATCAACAATGGAGGTCGAGATTGATTGCAGATGAAGGTGGTGGTTGCTTCCAGGAAAAGCGAGCGAGAAATAAGGGTTTAAGATGAATTCAATCAATTTTGGACCAATTGGGGTTCGATTAAAGATGAACAAAAAGGGTACAGAGGAGAGTGAAAGAGAGGAGAAGAGAAGGAATTGAACAAGGGAAAGATGATAATGGAGTGTTGTTCTTCAATGCCATTTTTGCATTTCAATTCGTAAGTTAACGCCATTAGTCTGAAGTTAACACCCATATTTCACTGTGCCGACTTTACCCTTAGTAAAGGGGGCAAAATGACGCTCATAACCTCTTATGAACGAATTTCGTTCATAGGGCTAATGAACGAGGATTTCTCGTTCAGATTTGGAGCACAATATTCTCAATTCAAATTTACTCTTTAGCAATGTACTCCATATTAATTAAATCTTTCAACCCTATCAAATTTAAAATAAAAAAGGCAAAAGTTAAAAAAGATAAAAACTTTTACACAAAAACAATTTTAATAATAATTAAACTCAACACAATTTCAACTTTTAAAAATCAAATTTCCAAAATTTAAACAAAAATTAAACAAACTTTAAAAGAGAGAAAAAGAGGGGGGCTCACCATAAGAATCGAGAGAAGTGGCAAAAATATTAGTCGCAGAACCAAATGCAACAGCCAAAGAGAGTGAAAAAGAGAAATCACCTTCACCCACTAATAATATTGCATGATTTGATGAATAATGTTTCACCCACTTTTCTTTATTTACCAATTTTTCTTCCATTAATAATTCTTCGAACACATTATTGTTATTATTATTGTTACATCGAGTATTATTCAAATACATCAATGAAGGTTGAAGATGAAAAGACTCCATATTTATGATCTTGGAAATTTTTTTTAAAAAAAAAAACGACGAGGGTTTTAGAATTTTCAAATTACACTTATATTTTTACTCACATCTCAAGTAGAATTCTAAAATATGGAATTATTTTTGCGGCCCATTCATTTAATAGTGGAGTTTATGGCCTTCAAATTATTTGATGTGATGAAATGAGCACAATGAAATGAAATAAAAAATAAGTACGAAATAGTTCTTATCACAAACTGTTTTAGGTAGGAATGTAGGATAGTGGGAAAAATGTGGATCACCAATTGGTCACATATTATAGTCATATGGAGTAGACGGGTAGATACATATTACTACCTCCGTTTCATATTATTTGTAAAAGATCGTTTTTTACTCGTATTTTTTTATTTCTCTCTTCTATTAACTATACTTTAATATGTTATACTACTTATGACGAAAAAAATTCTCTTGGTCTTAACTCTATAATTTTCTTAAACTTTGTGCATGGTAAGCTAAAGTATTGGATTATTATGAAACGAAGGAAATATCATATTTTTTATATACGTGTATGGTTAAAAAAAATTCCTCCAAAAGATGTTTATTTTATTTTATTTTTTTTCTTAGAGAAGTATTTAATTTAATACTTACTTTACAATAATATTTCTTTTCTATTTAGCAAGTTTATATATTTTTACACATTCAACAAAGATTTATTTATTTATTTTATGACGGAAACAAAGTCATATAATACGATAATAATGTAATCTTATCTAGCTATTCAAAAAAAAATGTAATCTTATCTATAACTTTGTAATGTAATCCATAGTTATTTTTATTAGTCGTGCATGCATTTCTTCCTCCGTTTTCTTTAATGATTTAAAAAAAAATCGTAATTACATAACTTTCATCCTATTTCGCAATTTGATATTATTTTTTATATTAAATATTAAAATTACCGTGCATGACACGAGATCTAAACTAGTTCCTTAATAAAATTAAATCATGTTAGAACTTTTATATATTTACCTATTGCTAAATATCGTTAATTGTGTATTAAAAAATAACAAAAATTACGGGAAAATACAAGTTAATCTGCCAAATAAACGAATTTTTGTTAATTTGATGGCATTTTTGTAAATATATTGAAAACGCATGGTCATTTATTTAGCACTTTTGGTGAGCTGTCCAATTACTGTTTGCAACTTGCTTTAACTGTTTGGTGAGGAAATTACACATGTACCCCTCAACTAGTACATAAAAAGACGCATATATCCCTCCACTGATACTTGAAAAGACAATTATACCCCTAGATAAATAAATATTGTTTATCTGGGGAATTAACTGGGTATAGCTCAAAAATTATATATTTGAAAAGTTTATAATTACACGAATTTAACAAGATCTATTTTAATAATGATTTTCTTTATAGATTAATATTAAAATATGGTCTAATTTTAGTCAAATTATCAGACTAGACCATACTTGATAATAAAATTCAGATCATACCGGATTAGATTAAATCTTGTTAAAATCATACCGGATCTCCTTATTTAATGCGAAGAAAACAAGTTCTTAGTGTAGTTTTCGGCTCGTTGACAAAATAACAGCTCGTAAACAGTCTAAGTTCGAGTAGTCTTATCAGTATTGAAGGTTTTTCTTGGAGGGAATAGTTTCGGCTTCTGACGTTGTAGGCCCTTTTATAACAAACTTCACAACGCATCCAAAGCCAAGTAGTTTCCTTTGTTGCTAAGTAAAACTTTCATTTCGATTTTTTTCTCTAAAAAATCATCATAATTTTGATAGAAAATCAGTTACTTGTATATTGAGCTTACATTTGTGGATCATAACTCATAAGTTTACACCCACATGTCTTATAATGTTCATATTACACTCGTTTTGTTTAAGATTTTATGAGATATTGCTAATGGTGTGTTGTTGAGTACTTGTGTAATAAATTTTGAATTTCGCTCTTTGAATTACATACTATTCCATACTAAATATAAAAAATAAATGAGAGCATCATGCATTATCAATGACTTGGGATTGATTTATTAGGTGCTCGGTATAAAATCTAAGCTTGATTTAGTGGACGTAAGTTTGCCTGGGAATATTAGATAATCCATATAAAATAAGCTAAGCGCCTAAGCTAGACTTTGTGGACGTTAGTTTGCCTAGGACTATTAGACAATTCATGCAAAAGTTTCAAAGAAGAGCAACTTCCCGTGTTTTTGTAAACTAAATGAAAACCACTTACATAGGTTGGATCTCTGTTTCTGTATTTGATAAGGACTTCAGATCAGCTGCAAAGCACAAACCCGATCAGTAACCAGCATTGTCAGGGATCCATCTTTCACACATATTCAGTGTATCTAATGCTTTCACTGCCAACCGACGGACCAAATGGTAGTGTGCGCCTTCATATTTTCCGTAACAACAGAATAATTCAACAGGATTAGGAATACGACCCAAGGCCATATTTATTTCCTGAAGCTCTGTGGACAACTCTAGGGTGTTTCCAAAGTTTGACCTGATCCATGAAATTGCAACATTTGAATTGCTTTCAACATCAAGTGCCACATTTCTGTGGCACAAGTGTGATCTCTCGTACATCAGTAATGCACATTTGATAGCAAGCAATTCAGCAAAATTGACACACATGTAAGGCAATGGTCCCCAAAACATAGCTCGAACTGAATGATATTCGTCTACTAAGACACCTGCATATCCTGCTGCCATCAGAAAGTGTCTAACTTCTGCTTTGACAACGAATTTTACTCTAGGCAGAGCGTCCCTGCAACCCTGCAGGTTAAAATGACTTGAAGATATGTCAGGGGAAGGTGGCGCGACAGTGAAGATGAATGTATAACTGTCTTTCCAGTTGAAAGGTTCATCGATTGTTGAACTATGACCTCTCTTGTTCTCATACATCGGGTAGTCCTTGATATCAAAAGGGACGCACTCCATTAGGCGTAGAGAGTTTTGGTGTGCAAGTTCTTCGAGATTCCAAAAAGAGTAAGGAGGCTTGATTTTATGAGTAACATGAATCTGGCCATTGTGTCGGAGCAACCACCTAGCATTGCTGAAGAAGTCGTAGACTAGACCCTGATGCTTACTGCGAATAACAAGGTGCCGTTAACCAAGATTGTAAAAAATAATTTCATTTGACATATGACTATTCAGGAAACATGGAAGAGGAAAAATATGTAATGTGTACCAATACAAGCGTTAGCTCAGAAATTTCCAACAATATTATGACAAGCTGCAATCTTCAGGGCATACTTGAATAACATAAGCTCAAATCATATAGTATTAGAAGTGATAATAAAATGCATAACCCCTTAAATTGGAAAATATTCCCAAAAAAGAAATTTTTCTTTGAAGCATATTTTAAGAGTCAGGCCAGGTCATGGCCTAAACATACAGGACAAAGCTCCCACTGTTAACGGTGTTGCATTCCACAGTTAAGCTTGAACAATTCCCTTATCATACATGGAAGCAGCTGATGGTTACTTCATCGAGTCAACCAAACAAATTTTACAAAAGCATAATTTTTATCATCTAATCAAATAAAGTAACAATTAAAATTCGAACAAAATGTGACATAAAAATGAATGCATCAATAAGTTTAGAATAGAGTAGAGATTCTAGAGAAAACATGTATTCATACTTGATCATATCAGGATTGTCTTCTGATCCATAGAAGCCAGCATGAGGGAAATTATAGACGATGTAATCAAACTTTCTCCAGCAGAGTGAGGGGTGATCTTGCATCTGCCTAGCATCTACTTCATGTAAAACAGTAGCTCCCAGAAATCTTAAATGCATCAAATTTAACGCTGCTTTCTTATATGTGTTGATCAAAGAATCTGTTTCCAATATCAACAATATAAGACTAGACTTCCCTTAGTACATTTAGTACAATAATGTTGCAAAACCATTTCGTAAATAAAATTGCTCTTTTATTCTAATCGTTAGCCATAGTTGTTTATGATCATACTCCTAAAGTCTAAGATTCTAGAAGAATATTTTGAGTTATGCATTATGGAATACATCATTGATTAATAAAAACCTTCATACTACTATTATGGTGAAACAATGAATACTAAGGGGTGCAATACTGTAATATACTCGATATGCAATGAAATTAATCAATAAATTAGTCACTCATTGGCAACTTACGAAGTAGATTGAATACTAGCAAATGTTAGACTGCAGCACCATTGATTCATTTCAGCATATGTGCATAGATGACATCCAAGTATAATGGCTAGTTGGTGGCAAAATAATATCATCAACAAAAACCACAATAAAAATGCCAAGTTCTTAGATTATTTTTATACTTGTGATTAATAATACTTTTACTCCTAGCAAATTGTCCTACTATTATAAAGTGCGGTCATTCAAAGTAATCCATATGAAGTTCTTTAAACTTTTACTCTAAGAAGCAGTCCAAGAAGATCCAATGTGCAAAGTATCAATGATTCAAACTTCAAAGTAATTGAAGGTAAATCTCTATTAACTCAATTCCTAGATTTGGTAAATCTATTCTTAATCCATTCAAACATGTAACATCCTTTCTATACAACAAGTTCTCCTAAACAACCAACCTAATTGCACACTCACATTTAATTATCGCACATGATAAGAGTATAAAAAATTCAAAACATATTCCTGGGCCTCAACCAAAAGCGCTTAAACTGATGGTTGCACACTCACTCAAAAACAACCTAATTGCAATAAACAACCAATGGATACATGAGACAAGGTGGAGGGGTAGTGACATCGCTTTTCACCTCATATTCGTGTTGTTTAGGAATCCCATCATCTAACCCTCATATGGGTCCCCTTCTATTCACCAAAGCAACTATAGGGTCAAGTATTTTATTTTAGTCTTACTATTACACATTTACACTTGGTAAGATTTAATGAAATATAGGTCGGATTTGAAGCACAATTTACTCAATTCTAGTTTATATGGTAGGCAATGCCTTATACTACTTCACTTCACTAATTCCTCCTCACAAAATATTACTCCCTCTATCCCCAAAAGTTCGACCCTTTTGGCTTAATCTTAGTTCCAAAATGATCGACCCATTTGCATTAAAATACCCACCAATTTACAACAGTACTTGTACAAAATTAGCTCACATATAAAATTTTGTTTTTCATGTATTTTTAATACTTTTCCTTCTTTTTATTTAACTTTTTAATACCCGCGAAAATCAACCAATGAACTAATATACTTTTCCTTCTTTTTATTTAACTTTCTTAATCCCCGCAAAATCATCCAAAAAGGTTCGTTTTTTCGGGGACCGGGAGAGTAAAAATAAAAAATCATCCACATGCATGTTGTAGAAAGATCAAAACTTTAACAAAAACCTACTTCTATATATACAAAAAAATCAATAAGCAAAATCAACTCTATCATAAATTCATAATACATAGCCCAAATAATATTTAAAATAAGAATAATACTTGACAATTTGAGTAAATTTCAACTAATGTATTTTGTACAGAAATTTAAAGAATTTAACAAAAATTAAAGTTGAGAAAAAGAGAGAGAAAAGAGAAGCTGACCATAAGAATCGAGAGAAGTTGCTACAATGTTAGAGCCAGAACCAAAAGCCATAGCCAAAGACAATGCAAAAGAAAAATCACCTTCACCCACTAATAATATTTCATGATTTGATGAATAATGTTTCACCCACTTCTCTGTTTTTACCATATTTTCTCCCAAACTTGAATTTTCATAACCATTATAATTATTATTCGAAGACATTAATGGAGTTTGAAGATGAAAAGACTCCATCTTTGACCTTCTCACTGTAAAAGCAAAATAAAAGGCAAAGAGGGAGTAGAACTTATATTCTCACTAGTGTAAATTTAATTGTCAGGCCCATTAATGGTTTTTAAGCTCAATAAAAATAATACGGAGTAATTGTCAAGTTCCAAGTTCGTGTTGTCTTATCAGCAGTTCAGCCAGCCTTCTTTTCAGATTGTGTGAAACCATGTTGATTTGATTTATTCATACTCATTAATGCAATAGTTAGATTAATTTTACTACATATAATTGGATTTCCTAAGAAGTTTTTAAAAGTGTTACTAAAAAAAAAAAAAGTGGTTGGTAATTGAAAAAGTTAAGGCCCTGGGAGAAAGCTGAAGCTGATTTTGACTAGCTGATTTTATTAACTGATTTGACTAACTTATTGTATTAAGTGATTATATAAAAGTGTTTGGTAAATAACTGATAGCTTAAAGGTGATTGAGTATGTGAAATGACCAATAAGCTAATTGTGGGGTAGGTAGTTTAGATAGAATTTTAAATTAAATGAGGTTATAAGTGTCATTTCACAATAATTAATGAATAAGCTAATTGAAAAAGCTCCTAAAATGAGCTTTTTCAAAAAGAGCTTATTTAGTGGAATAAGATCTTTCAATAAGCTTACTACCAAACACTTGTATTAGCTTGTTTGACTAGTCAATCAGCTAAAGTTAGTCAAATAAGCTAATATACCTCCAATAAGCTAACTACCAAACAGGGCCTTAAATTTAATTCACATTACAAATTTCTAAGTAGTTAAAGTGACTGAGGTTGCACCTTTTAATTATGAGGGTACGTTGATGGTTCAATTCCCACTAGGCCACTAAGGACACTTTGACATTTATTTGATGGAGTGAATTGAAAATTAAATACACAAACTAAGCTATAAAAGGTACAGGGTAAAAGTGGTAACATCTTGTCCTTATTTCTTATAGTCTTACAAGTGGTAAAACTATTTCAATTAATTGGTGTGGTGTAACTTGTACAGAGTAAGTAAATAAAGAAGGATGAATTTAAACTAAAGTGCATGCACACCAATTGTACGATACCTAATGTTATGGCTAATTTAGAGGGTGGTTAAGTCCTAAGTAGGTTTAATAAGTTAAAAAAAGTGTTCATGTTTATAATATACACATTTAGTGCATTTTAATTTATTAACATGTGTTTGCTTATTTGAATGATTTATATTAACACATGTTTTGTTCACCTTATTTTCACTGGTTCAGTTTTAATAAATTTAAAACTTAATTAGTTCTATTTAGTTGAGATAAGTTCGGTTACGCAAAGTTCAAGTAAATCTAGATAGCTATTCAAAAAAAAAAAAAAAAAAAAGATCTAGATTATTGAAAATCATGTGAATAAAACACAACCCTCACCAAAACTTATCCTATCTTATTAAACTTATCAAAACTAATAACTTATTTTAAATTGAGCTTAGATAACCTTTATTAATCATCAGAACTATCTAAATTTATATTATTGCTGATCTTATCTGTTTAAATCTCCTTAAACAACCAAGGCTACTTTTCGCTCATTGGATAATTAAATAAATAATAATCATCCCTTAATGATCAAAATAAGAAATCATTATATCTTTGATGCACTTTACATCGGATGTATATACCACGTTAACAACCTTTGGAACAAAGAAAAAAAGCTTGAAATTAGAGCTGATCAATATTAGCCTGATGGCCCGGCTAGCCCAAATTTGGGTGGGTTTTTTTTTTTGGGATAGATTTAGACAGTGTTTTTATGTATAATTTTTAGTTGATTTTTTTGGCCCGGCTTGGAAAGCCCGCATGGTTTGGCCATTTTGGGCTGGTTTGGGCATGCGATTTCTATACCGAAGCTTGGCCCACTCTAAGAAATGGATGATTATTTTGGCCTCAGCCTCGGTCCAACCCCCTCTTTGATAAGGACTACTTGAAATGAAAACACAAAAAGAACAACACACTTTTTTGGTATGACCAACCACAATGTGCGGTAAGTTGACACATACTAAAACATTGATTGAGTAACCCCTGACTGATTAAGAAACCCTGACCCACACCGCGTGACCAACCACATATGATACTTTATGTGAAAAAAAAGTAAAGCAATCGGAGTAAACAAAATAAAATTGAGAAACTACATAAATCGGAGTACTAATTACCAAATAGTATTTGTATTTCACACTTTATTAGTTCAAAAGACATTTGTTTGTGTAATGCTGTAATTCCATCATAATATCAATATAGAAGAATTCAGTTTTGCAAAATTGATTACAACAAATCATATAACATCCAAAGTTTTACCACAAGCTATAAGTAAAAGGACCTCAATGCAATAGGGACAACAACAACAGCAATGTTTGAAGCTAATATCTTCAGTTTCCTATCTTTGAAATATCCCTGCCAAACACTAGAGTGGTTGCCCAGTTTACAGCAACATAGAATCTGTTTCTCCAGCTAAGTACACGCGTTAGATATGCTGAGCGCCAAATCAGAAAGCTGAGGAACCCAGCAATGGAGATGCCCTTAGCATCCTGATGATAGAAAATACAATGAAAAATTCATCAAACAATAGATGTTAATTGTTAAGAAGAGAATAAATCACTCTAAACATATGTTATTCAAAATCGTAAGGAGTACCTTTGACTCGCGGAGATCAACTAGAGCCTTGTAGCTACCTACTGAAGCCATGCTACCAGCATGCTTGTAAACAAACGGTTCTCCCAAAGTAACATCTTTTGCTGAATAAGCCTTTCCTGCATTTTGCTTGGCCATGTTGTTGAATAGCTCAACCAAATATTTGCCTTCTCTTTCAGCCACCTATATGAGCAGATATATAGTTATACATTATAATTACAAACCAATCACCATTTCAAAAGACCGTGTTTGTGCATGAAATATGTGATCGTCTAAGGATAAATTCAAGAAAGTTTGATATGGGGTAAGAATACTGCAACAATAATAGTTTGCAGATAAGTTACATGAACCCTTCATTTCACCTCAAATGCTTCAATTTGGACCAAAACATTGATTCTTTTTATAATAGTGTAACACTTGGAAACACACCCATGTTTGACATGAAAATCCAAGTTTTAGCAGCATAGATTTGCAGAAAGGTATGCATTATTACCTGAGCTAAAGCAGGGAGAACCTTTCTTCCAGTTTGTTCCAGAAATCCAGCACAATCACCAAGAGCAAATACATCTTCCACTGAAGGAATTCGCAACCATTGGTCAATCCCAACCCTGAAACAGTCATGATTACCATAATATTGCATTTGTCAAATGTCATCAGAAACACCAGAAATGAAACCAAAATTTTGAGGCAGGTAAGGCACCTTCCACCAGGGCACTTTGGGAGATTAAGAGATTTAATAAACTCAGAAGGACCGACGCCTGTTGACCAGACCAAAATGCCAAAGGGTACCTCTGTTCCATCCACAAGTACTATCTTTTCCCTCTCAACCTCTTTCACAATCCCACGCATTAGACACACACCCGACTGATGCAAAAATTTTATGTCAGATGTAATGAACTCGTAGACATTGCAAAGAATTTGATGATAGAAATATATGAATAACCTTTGTCAAGTGACTTGCAGCATATTCCCTCAATCCCACATCAAACGATGACAAAATTTCATTGGCCTGTTTCAAGCAGGTAATTAGAGTGATACTGAGATTACAAGCAGAAAAACTAATGTCTAGAAAAGCAATAAGTTGAGTACATGATATACATACATACCTCAATAACAGTGACCTTGACGCGGTCTTTAACATGAGCATACCGCTGGCTAACATCTCCTTTTATAAAATCACTCAGTTCACCACTGAATTCTACACCAGTTGGACCACCTCCAACAATAACACAATGTAACAAGCGCTTCCTTTCCTCATCAGAAATGCCTAGAAAGACCAAAAAGATAAAAATTTAAACAAACTTGTTTATGTCATAAGCTGAAAGACAATACTATAATACCAAGCCTTACATCGTGCAAGGAAAATGATTTTCCTCATACATTAAGGCTTGTTCGTTCTTTCACCTGAAAACTCCTTAGCTGAGCTTATGTAAACCTTACTTTTTAATCGTAAATTGAACTTGGCTGTCCTTATATGAACTTATTGGCCCTTATATGAACTTATTCACCTGAAAATTATCTTTTCAAGGTGAAAAGAACAAGGCCAAAGTATTAAACTGACATCCAGAAATTCAATCTAAATAAGAATGATGGCTTTTTAGCCTTGAACAAAAGATCTTGAGTAATAACCTGGACTCTGAGAAAGCATAAGATTTGAAAGAAGTTTCATTCTTATCTCTTGTGCATGATTAACTTCTCGCAGAAAAATAGCATGTTCCTGCACCCCTTTAATGTTGAATGTCAGGGGATCAGATCCCACAGCAATTACAAGCTTGTCATATGCCACCCTAAATCGATGTCGTTCATTTGCTTGCCCCAAGTTCTCCACAGTTTCACAGTAAACCTGGTTTACAAGAAAGATTGTACTTAAGTCATATAAAAGTCCCTTGAAATGAGCAAAAATGAAAAAAAAAAATAAAAATGCTTAAACAGATGGTTTAATCCTAATCAACCCCTCCTAAGATTAATTGGTTAACTTACTTCATGTTTAGAGGTGTCAATGCTAGTGCAGGAGGCCAAATAGAAATAGCAATTCGGATCCGTAGCAAGAGCAGACTGAATCTGACCCACAGGCTCAGCTACTGATCGAAATTCCAATGTCCCAACACAAGTTGAGGCAAGCAAAGGAGTAAAAACCATGTGGTTCCTTGGTGATATGCAAACAATATCATACATTTTGGTGTCAAGTCCCTTCATGAAACGGCATGCTGCCCAACCAGTTCCAAGGACCACAACCCTTGGCTTATCCCCTGGCTTAGTTGCTTCTAGCCCCGGGTATTTCATACTCTCCGACTCTGAAACTGACTGCTGACGCGCAATCTTCTCTGTAGAAGGTAGTTGAGAAGAGAGAGTGGCCTGATAACCCCTACTTTGGAAACTGGGAATATCCATCTTACCAAAGGTGTATGGATTATTGTACTTGAGCATTGCATTTTCTAGTGAAGGTTGGTACTTGGAGAAGGAAATACCCTCAGATATTGCATCTCTTTCGGTTGTATAATTGCCTTTGGCACCTCCTGATCTTCTCAAGCCAGTCCTTGCAATTCTTGCAAATGCCATTTCGAAAACTTCTGCTTTTATTACAAGATCTGATGCTGCAGAAGTTCCTATAAACCAACTTTATGTGCTTCTATATGCTTGAAATTTCCCTGCAGAGAACACATATCAGGTAATATCAATCATGGCATACTTGTGCAATAACGCGAAAACTTTAGCATTGATTATACTCTTCAGCTCTAGACGACATTAGCTTTTTTAGAATGATACATTGTTAATAGAGCTTAAATGTTCTTCTCATATTTCGAATTGAAACTTATTCAAAATAGAGCTCAACCGAAGAACTGAATGTATGTGAAGATTCAACATGATCTTATTTAGTCTTTCAAGAAAATATGGAGCAAAGATGAAGAAATATGAACTAAGATCAAGATTCCAGTATAGCAATCTCGAAAGATGTAAAAGGACCATCATCTATATTACCTTGACTAATGCTAAAAGTGATGCATTACATAAAAATTAACATATCAATAACAGAACATAGAATAAATTGACATAACAATAACATCTAATCTAATACAAGTATAACTTAATCACTAAAATTTTAGAAATGATCAATAAATCAAAGAAGTCACACTGGATCTACATTGAAAAATGCCTAAAGTTTTGTAATATTGAAAGACTAATATGGACAGAGCTACTACTATTTTAAGCACATCATGCACCAATGTTACAAGCACTATATGCTAACAAAATGCACATAGATTATATATAATATACCATATTACAACATTTCATCAATACGGTGCAACAAAGAGGGTCAGATGAACGCAATCTTACACTTGAACCTAACATGTTCTCGAGCTACATAGACTTAAAATGTTAGGGCTTGAATCCCTTGATACACCTTTCGTTCAAATGAGATTGTCTTACTTTATAAATCACTAATGTGACTCACAATGCTACATAGGATAGCTACACCCCAGCTTATAATTTAATCAACACGTCACAACTTTTTCGCTTTTAAATTGAACAAAATTGAATTGTTTCTAAAATTGTGTTACACTTGTTAGTTGTTACGACAACCTAGTAAACTTGGACATACCTAATCACAACCTAGTTTATAATCTTTTGAACATACGAAGAAATTTGAAATCATAATACATGTAATGAAACAATTGAGAATTTGAAATGATTAAATGCAGAAAATGAAAAACTTGTTAGAACAATTATAAAAAGAAATAATAATAAGAATTAAGAGTAAAGGAATATTACTGGGGTTTGTAAGTAAACAACTTTGTGTTTGGCAGCTGGTGAACGGTGATGAAATCATGAAAACTCCTTCATAAAAAATAGGAAAACACAGGCATTTTCTAGCACACTAAATTAAGAATGTATTAATAATAATTTTTTTGGCCAAAATTATACTCCGTAATAAATAAAAAATGGTAATAAAGGAGTTAAAATATTACCAAAAAAATAATATGGAAGGAGATCTGAAAAGGGAGGCTTGGGCAACAAGAAATTTTCTAATTAAAAAGGAATAATAAATGTTTCAAGTTGGTATTATTAATTAAAATTAAAAAAATTAGTTGTCGTTGGTTTTACCTTTATAATTTTGGTTTGTTCAGATTCAGTAAGAATGTACAAAACTTTACGGAAACACAATGGTAAGTAATTATGGGTTAGTTTAAGTAGTTAGAGTTTCTCTTTCAGTTATAAGTGATCTAGGATCGATTCTCACCCGGTCCTTGTGGCTAGCTAAACACCACAAAAAATTATAATGTTCGCTAATGTTTGCTAATTGAAATCATATTACAGAGGAAGTATGTAATATAACAATCTGTTTAGCAAAGAGTTAAATTACAATTTTTTTTTAACAAATTATATGAATCTAAATATTGTACAACGCTTTGGTAAAAGAATAGATGCTACTTTTATACTTACATATCAATGAATTATGAAATCTAGACATAAAAGGGGAAAAGAGGATGAAACTAGTCTTGTAGTTAGCCAAAGACTATTGAGTTTGTTGCAATTTCTTTCTTTTGCCGATCATCATAAGGTTAAGGCAAGTGGATCTTATGTTGCTGCTATCATTGCTTCATGACCTTGGTTGAACACCTTGTTTAAAATCATGGCTAATCGAACCCCTCCTTGTGCAATACGTTTCATCACGAAAGGCAGCCTTGAATTGAAGTATTCATCTATAATAAACCACATAAAAAATAAATACACGTTACCAGACAGTGGCAGATTTTGACCGGAAATATTACATATGTTGGAGGGGTCATGATTTAAACCTCTAACCTCTCGTTCAAAACTAATCACTATGTCACAACATAACATTTTACGAGTACAATAAGGTTCAGATGATGAGACGTGTCTAGCTAGTTTTAATAAATAAAAAACAAATTGGTTACCTGAAAGAGTTACACCAGGCTCAGCATCTTTGTAACCCCATTTACAAGCTATGTTAATGCTTTCAGTTGCATACCTATATGGCAAGGGAAAAACAAAAAATCTTATGTAAATAGTTACTTGATAAAATGCAAAATAACATTTTGAATGAAAATTTTATAGTAAAAATAATCATACTTGGTTACACAAGTATGAAGACTGTTGCAATCTGTCCAATGTGAGACATCATCCGACCATATTCCCTGTAGTAAAATGTAAGGCAATCCATAATTTAGTACATTATTGCTCATTATAATTATGTTTTGCAGGAATTAGCTTAGTTATTTGTTATGACAAATTGCAAATAATGATATATATAGTCATGTGTAAGCTAAGTAGTCTTACATTAGTGAAGTTTCCTACAATGTCTTGTTGTAAGAGATCAACGTCGTTGTCATAGTAATCTTTCAAGGCTGTAAGAATTATCTCTCTGTCCCATACCTACACAATACAATAGCAACCATGTTAAATGTAAGTTTTTACTACTAAAGAAGCGTGACAACTAAAAAAGGCTCTTGTAGGCATAATTCATGTTTTTGTATGAGTGATATCCCTTGTAATTACGCAAAAATGTCCATAATATAAGCTAAGGTACCAAACGTTCTATGAACTCAAACCCGAGAACAAAAAGAGTGTTATGGTGGTAACTCTTAGAAGTGGTGGAATATGTTGTATTAAGATGTATGTATTCATGTTGAGCTCCTTAACAATCACAACGCGAACCTTTTTTACTTGGCCATGCCCAAATTGTCATTCGGAGTGTTTAAATATAAATTCAATATAGCTAATCTAATGAGAAATATATTGTAAAAGTATGTGGTAGATATATACATACATGATGGAGGTTTGATTTATGTCTAAACCAACGTAAATCAATAGAATTTCCTCCTTCATCACTGGTATGCGCGCAATGCATTGGCTGTTACAATGATTAACATAAACTTAAATTAGATTTACAACAATAATGATCAATTAAGCTTAAAAATCAATATATGATGGTTAGCTACTTGGAGATCAAGAGTAGTGAGAGTTTCGATCATCTCATACATACCTGATGAATATCTCCCATAAAGTGTGACAGAAATAGCAATGCCTCAGTCATATTATCTGCATTTTTTAAGGTATGTACACCACGTCAAAAATAAGAGTTGTTCTAAGTAATTTGAGACGAAGTGAGTATCGTACTTAAAGATATTATAAACGAATACAACAGTAAATTAAAATATCAGATCTTACATCGTCGATCAGCAGTTCCTTCGCGGTAATGCTGAAGTTGAGATGTGTAATTTTGAATAGCACCAGCAACACACATATCCTCCACACCATGTTGATCATGACAATCCCCTATAAATCAATCCAACCATATATTACTAAAGACATAATAATCGCGCTTATATATTATAATATGATCAGATCAGGTCAGATCAGATCTTACACATAACAGATTCGAGTGCTTACGTTTATAATTGAAAGAACAAGAATCATCAGGAGTATCAATGAAGTGAAGAGGGCTAGTCCAGCGGTATTTGTACCAATGCCTCACTTGGTCTGGCCACACACATAACGCCGATAAATTACCATTTAAATTGTCTGGTAATAATTTCTTCACTGCATCTAGTGCCTCTGGTTCCAACAGATCCTACATAACACAGTTAATTACATAATGTTGGTTAAATTAACTTCCATTAATCAATTTTGTTATACATAAAATTAAATTGTGGGCTAGACGTGTTAGAAAATAACAATCGATATTGGTCATTTGGAGCATCATACACGTGACACGTACACAACATCTAATGTATGCATGATATACGACTTTGCAATAATGATATATATATCATTATTGCAAAGTCGTATATCATGCATATATATATATATATATATATATAAATATATATATATATATATATATATATATATATATATATATATATATAAATATATATATATATATATATATATATATATATATATATATATATATATATATATATATTTGTACAAGAAAGGTTGATATGTGATCATAATCCAACTACAATTAGAGACTAATTAGTAATTATTAAACAAACCGGATTTTGCTGAAAGATAGTTTCCAAATATAGTAAATTAAATTGTTTAATTTTAATTCCCTTGTGTATGTTGCTTATACTTCATCCTAATATAAGCTAAGTACTAATTTTCGAGTTCCTTGGATTGTCTGTTTTCAAACATTTGGAGTCAGCTTAACTCAAGACTGTTTTCTGAGTACAAGGTAAGCAAGTTCTAAGTATTACGACAACAAAAGTTCAACACATCACAAATTTGGTAGGTAGGGTGGAAAATGACTCAAGCCATTCGACGTAAGCTTGTATGTTGTACAAGGGAAATTTAATTTGTTGGCGTTACATCACTTAGCTTGTATGCGACAAATTGCAAACGCGCACTGGTGTTATCAATACTTATACGAAAATTTGTTCCCTAGATTTTAAGACTTAAGATAGTAACATGACTTAAGACTATCAACAATAACAATGAACAGAGAGTGAGGGATAACTCAAGTGGTTAGAGCTTCCCTCCCAACTGTAGGAGGTCTCGGGATCGATTCTCACCCCGCCCTTGTAATTCTCTAAACACACACACACAAAAAAAAAAAAAAAAAAAAAAAAAAAAAAAAAAAAAAAAAACAGTGAACAAAGGAATACAAAGCAACACCCTAATTCCAATATATGCTAAAGTGAAAACGTGTCAACTAAAAAGAAAGGGAGGTAGTAGTTTAGAGGATCAACAAGATATACCGACGAGTAGTGAATAATAAGATCATAATCTGAGATCGTTGCATATGCATATGTACTCTATACATTTTGAAAGGCAAGGTAACAACATCCAAATACAATATATGGCTAAAAACTTTAGAAGTAAAATGATAACTAGATTTAGCTATTTATGTGCTAAAAGTGCTAGCTTAGTTTAGTTTACCTTATATATGTGAAGCTAAGGCAACCGAAAATTAGAGCTAGATTGATTAGAACAAAAACAACGAACATATAAACTTCATTCCTAAATCTATTTATAAAGCAAAGCTTCTATAAGGCCGTCTCTTATACATACTAGACCTCGTGTTTTTCAAGAGTGTATGAGCAAAAACGGAGTAACACACCACGAAAAAAGAGTACGTAGTAGTAGCTAACCTGAGCGATTTTGCAAGTGATGGTGTGACCCTCTTTGCTCCATGCTTGAACTCCAGCAATCAAGATCAAGCAATAAACTAGACAAGAAACAAAACACGTTGAGCGCGACATTGAAAAATCTCTATACTTATTAAACGTGAAACTAATGAAATTTATGTGTTGTTATAATGACTCTCAAATGAAAGCAACACACAAGTTAACCTATGTGTTATGGGTTGGCAAACCAGCATTATATATAGATACATGTCATATAGTTGTTAACATTGAGTACAAGTCTCATTTATCAACCATTTTGAGTCCTTGAGTAACTAATAAGTTATGACTTTGTACAAGCAAATTAAGCATATTCTATCTATTATAAATAGCATCTTTTAATTTCCTATTAATTAATTTATTTTAAGGTAATAATAGATGGCGCTTTTTATGTTCAATCATGTGCGACTTAAAAATTATGGGAGTCTAAGAGTCGATGAGCTAAGAAAACTTGAATAATAGATTAATAACGTATGGAACAAGAACAAGACATGCGTGTAGTTATAATCTAGTTAAGTCATATTATATTATATGATTGTATACATAGTTTTGTATCATCTTATGCAATCGAATATTGATCTGAATAGTCATATTATCCTAACCTCTCAACTTCTCAAGAACTCGCGACCAACTTTTTCATACACCAATTGAAAAGCCTTCTCGAAACAAAATTATTAGTCGTGTGACTACATGATTAATTAAAAGCCAACAATAATTATATTTAAAAAAAAAAAAAAGGAAAAACCAATTGTCAAACAAGGCTATCAACTTAACAATTAAGGATTAGGAGGAAAAATAAAATGACTCAAATGATGTTTCTTTATTACGGCAATTGATTTGTATTGTACATAATGCTTGATGTCTGAACAAATGCAGCTAAAGTATTTCAGTATTTCACAATAAGCAATACATTCACTGAATTCATCTGTATTTGAATGAATAATATTACATTTTTCTTCGTACAGGCATTTCGGTGTATACATGATCCAGTAACTTCTGCGTAGATTACCTCGATATGTACAGCAATGAAGAATGATGATACGGGTTTCTCCAATGTGTGTGTGTCGTTTTAAAATAAGAATTGAATGATGCAGTCTCACGCAAAACTGACTCCTTGCTCTCCTTTTCCTGCATTGGAGATCAGCCCGCAAGAGCTATTAAATATACGGTTGAGAGTAGCTGCCAAGCGAATTCCGCCCTGAGCCAGCCTCCTTTCCACTATGGGTAGCCGAGTGAGGAAGTATTCGTCTATGACACAAAATGAAGACAGCAGAAATCTAATTAGATAAAGAAAACAAATTGAAAACATTCTTTGTTCACCTTCTCACAACTTGATTAACCCAACATTCAGGCAAAGAAGCAGTAATTAAGCAATTAACAAAGCAGAATTGGAATCAGACATTCTACACTACTTATTCAAGACTAAAAGGTTAAGTAAAAGTAGGAGGCGCAGGGGGTAAAGATCACTGAGATGAGAGGAGGTGGCTAGACTAAATTACAAATTCAGGGTGCTTCAGCTTCAGACATTTGCTTTGATTCCTATGTACCGTGAAACACTCACCAGAACATAGATCTCCATTCTTCATATACATGAATTGAGATAAGAAGGCTAACAAGTAGCACAGAAGAAAGAATCAATCTAGTGAGAAAGCAAGAAACCAAAAGTCCAAAAAAAGTTAATTTGGAAAGGGTTCTAGAGATCAATCTGAGTAGCTTAATCGGTTCTTGCTCTGTGTTTTGTTCTGACCTTCAATTTTTATAAGGGTTTTCCTGTCCAAAATCTCATGCAGTACTTGTTTTATATGCTTTATTCCCATTTTTAAATACAGAAAGAACACTGGATTCCACAGTGTTGTGACGTATGAGGGCCTAATTCCTTTCAGAAGGTCAATTTGTGGCTGTAAATGTTCATTAGTCTTGCCTCACACTAGCAGTATGCAATCTAATAGTCTTGCTAGTCAAGAGACCATGAAGCACATAATTTTGTAATACTCACCTCCCAATACACTTCCTGGTGTGGCATTCCTGTATGCATATTTGCAAGCAAGTTTAACGCTCTCAGATGCATACCTGCAGAAGGACATTCCGTTGTAAATCTTTAAAATTACAAGAGACTTCTGTCTTTTATAGCCATACCATTGGCATTTATAGTATCGATGGTTTTTGTCGCCTTCTGCTTTCATGATAACAGAATGTTTTGAGCTTTGCAGAACAAAAATTCTAGGACATGAATTGCACAAAAGTCCCACATGGCCTATTTCCAGATGCCAAACAACGTTTAAGAAGATTTCCAATGAGCATACTTACGAATTTGGACAAACTGTGCAGTTTGCATCACATTCTTCCCACGACTCAACATAGTTATACCAATCCTCCTAAAATATCCAAATGGATAGAAATAGATATGTTAATGGGAGGTAGAAAGCAAAAATTAGTTAGTGAAACTGCAGATACTGATAAAAGAGAAGAGAGATAGCAGCATTTCGTTGTTTTTCCAATTCTCTCGAGGAGAATTTACATGGAACATAAACCCAAGATATTGTAGAGACACAAACTATCTTGCTGAATGATAGTTATACAAGATTTTGTGCATGTTGATGGACTTGAAGACTAGTAAACTAGCAGGAATCCAAAAGTTGATACACAATTTAAATCTTTGCAGAAAATGGAATCTATGTTTTAAAAATTTTATTATGCAATGAAAGTTATTGTAAGACAATTCAATAAAAGAAAATTTACCGTTATATTTTTCTGCATGGATTCTATCATGATGTTCAGATCTGAACCATAGAACCTCTTCAAGGCAGTATCAATGATTTCTGTATCCCACACCTGAAACAATCACAGGCAGTTTAAGATGTAAAAAATAACGCCTGAAACTCGAAAGAACATAAACCAGATAAACCCTGCACAATTTTATTCAGTATGATTCTATACCGTTGAATTAGTAGTCACCTTACTAGTTTAACACAACCATAATGATTAACATTTTCTGGTGAGAGGGTGCGAGATATTAATACTACATGTTAATTACTTTCTGTGCAGACTACACACTACACTAATACAGTAATCTTTTCTGTCATTAGTACACATTATATTCATGTAATTCAGCATTTCAGCCAAATGAAAGGAAATCTCATGTCCGCCTCATTATGTATTTTAAAAACTGATTGGCTTTCATCTTAACGTCATTCACTGAATTCATAATCCATAAAAGGAAATGGGAATCGTGGGACACAGAAAACATACATGGTGCAAATTTGCCTTCCTGCGATACCAGTGAAGATGAATTCTGTTCCCCCCTAGATCGCCAAGGAAACCACAATGCAGAGGCTGCACAGGACAAACCCAAATAACTGCTTGTTTTACATAGATACAGTAATAAGTAAACAGATGCAGGAAATCGATCAATACATACACCTGTGACAACTATTAAGTCAAAAAGATAACGGAAATAAGAGACAGCTTTGACACATGAAGAAGAATTCATTTCCAGTAGGAAAAATATTACCACAAACCCCTTCTTCCTGTATCAACTTGTCTAAAAAAAAAAAAAAAAAAAAAATAGGCGGCCGGAAATCTGAGTCCAGTTGTTCTAGGTCCTTCCTAGAACCCTTCCTAGAAGGTGGCTAGGTTTGGATCTAGAACTGGTTGTGGGGTTGGCATGTTGTTTTCAGGTCTTTTGGTGTTCTGGTGGTAGTTATAACTTAGCTTTTGTAAGTTGTAACTTTCTTTCTTTTGCAATAAAATCTTATTTTCCAAAAAAAAAAAAAAAAAAAAAAAAAAAAAAAAACTTGTCTAAAAAAATGACTTGAAAGCTTAGCTTGCACTGTAAAACTAAAAAAAAAACTCAGAATAAACAATTTACATTCAAATGCTAAAATGAAACCACAAACAGAAACTTGAATAAGAGTACTTGATAGTAACATTTTTCTATCTTCTGCATAAAATTTAGTCCCTGCAGATCACTTGACTAAGAAATACATAATAAATATATACGTATATATTGTGCAGAGTTTTCCAATGTTATATTCTGCATCAAAATATGCACTCTAGGACTTCACTGCTACAAAGCCTATTTAACACGGTAGAGCACTAACCTGGTGAACATCACCAACAAAATGTGACAGAAACATGAGAGCCTCAGTCAAGTTATCTGTATTTAGTAAATTATCAGTTCTCAGCATCACAGACAAAGCTAAAACGAGAAGATTTTGGTACTCATACATCTAGATTTAGAAGCTGAGTTCTGGCATGCTGACATTAATTGCAATGTATAATTGTAGGTCGCCCCAGTCACACATCTATTCTTGCGTCCAGAAGAATCATGGCAGTCTCCTGCAGAATACAATCCAAACATTCTAAGAGTAAACAAATATAGGAAACACAGGTAGAAAAACATGTAAATACACATGTTACAGCCAGTGTCAAGCCAACTTGATCAGAATTCAGGAAACAAGTGCTCGAAACATATTTTTCAATCAGGAGGGCTTAAATTGGCCAAATGTCATGTATCTTCAATCGAGTTTTTGCACTAATTTTGATTGTGAAAGATAGGCAATTTTGCAGACTGAAGATGAGATCCGGCAATAAACTTACTGGCATAGTCATAATTACACCTGAAATCAGGTGTATCAACAAAATGTAATGCACGGCTCCAGTAATAATGGGAACGAACTGCAAATAAATCAGCCCAGGAGCAGACGGCAGCTAGTTCTCCTTCAGCGGACTTTGGGAGCAGTTCTTTTACAACAGCCATGGCATTTTCAGTAAGATATCCCTGAAATATAAATATTCACATGAAAAATTAATCCTTTTTCCTTGCTTTTAATTCCTTATTTATTTTTAATGGGTTTTATGTGACAAGAAAGAAAATGAGTGCTCCAACCTCCGAGAAGAGACAACAATGAGCAGTATGGGCTGTAAAAAATATTGACATGAGAGGAACTGAGGAAGGGATAATCTAATCCAGAGATGTCACCTCTTGGTATCAAATGAGTTTCAAAGAAATTTAATTTTACTTAGCAGTGACAGGAGAATTGTTCAAAATGATCAATATATAGCACGTAGCAACTTAATATTTCACTTGAACGGATTTCAATTCTTGGCTGGTCAAGCAAAAGTTGAAACCCGTATAAAACATAGAATATTATTCCTTTTGATGTAATCTGCATTAAACTAATCAAAGCCTTCGACTTTTGATACAAAGTTGCATGACAAATTGACAAAAGCTAAAGAATAGAAAAAGGAAAGGTATAGAACACTTGACAAATCAACTCAGCTGCTCTGCAGAGCTTACACATATGGCAAATAAAACTGAGACCCATGCTATCTAAAATCATTGCAGAAATCTCTTACGTGGAGCTGAGCCATATTAAGTATCAGACTATCAGAGTTTCCTGTGCTGGGTTCTAACACTACAATATATCAAACCGCGCAACGATTGTGCTGGGTTTTCCTTTGCCACAAAAATGTGAATGATGTAAAACAGGAATATTTTTTATGTAAACTAAGTATACTTATAAACTTTGAATTGCCAACACCAAATAATAATCACCCAGGGGATAATCCAGCCAAATCACATGCCTATTCTATTCAGAGTGATCAGTGCACAGTCTTAACCACTTCTATTTACTCGAACCATAGTAGCCGAGCAAAGTATGACACTTGGGCACAACAATAATCCAAGCTAGAAAAATCATCAATTCAGAAGCAAAGCCTTAATCCAGCATCTTAATCTACCGTCCGAAAATTTTAAGTTCTCACTAAAGGAGTCATACACTCATACCACAACACCCCACATAACAATAATAAACCTTAGGTGCATCATTATAACAATAATAAACCACGCTGCACAATTTACAACTCTTAGTGCTCTACAATCAGAACTAACCAATACTTGGATAAAATTAAAGTATTTGTAGATCAAACAATAATTCATCAATCATTACTCAAATTCTATTTGAAAAAAAAAAAAGCAAAATAAATAAATAAATCAATTTCTCAAGAATTAAACAAAATCTACCTTAGTTTTACCTCAGCAATTTTGCAAGTCACATAATGGCCATGTTGTCCCCAACCAAAACTACCAGTAACCAGCTGAAGAAACACAGTTGCCATCCCACTAACCCATGAAAACTTGGACAACCCCATTTTCCAATTACCTGCACATAAATTATAATTAAAAAGAAAAAATCTTAATTAGCAGAACTTAATACCCACAAAAAATAAGGTAAAAGGGTCATAGAATATTACAGTATAAAATTGGAAATGAAATGAAACAATTTTCACCTGTTCTTCAATTGCTACTCAAAACCCAGAAAAGTCAACACTTTGAAGTTTGTACTGGTACTGAAGAACGAGCACTAAAGAAAACTGCAAATTATTGGTCATAAATCACACTGTTGTTGTAATAAGCAAAAGAAAAATCGGACATTTTTGGGGGAAAATTAAATATTATTTGATCCTCATTTTATCAGAGTGATCAGTGCGCATTTTCTTTCTTTTGGAGAACGTTTTCCCGTCTTATTTCTTTTGACCTTTTACTCTTTTTTTTTTTTTTTTTTTTTTTTTTGTGTGGGGTGTGTGAGAGAGATTTCTTAACTGTATCTAACAAAATCTATCTAAAATTAGGTTAGTAAAAATCTTTCCAAGGTAGTTTAGGGTTTTACGGCTTGATGTTCATCTAAAAAAAGGGGAATAATTACAAAACGGTTTATCAAACGTGTGTTCATGGACACATGTTAGATTATAAAAAGGATAAATCATAAAAATCTTTAAAAATCATCAATATAGTTTGATTAATCAACAAAATATTCTCATATGAAATTTTTATATCTTATGCCTACGGAATATGGCTTTGCTTCTGAATTGATGATTTTTCTAGCTTGAAATTAATCAACAAGAGATATACTTTATGTTAAGTTGTTAACATAGTGTAACAACTTCAAGGCCTCAAGATTACAATGTGTTTTTGATTTGCTATTATTATGGACGACTAAGACGAGCTTAGCTAGATAGTAGCATATACGTAGTACTTCACATGAATGATGATATTATTACATTACTTTCCCCAGAAGTGCCTGAAATTTTACTCAGTCAACAGTTCCCATCTATTTCCTTAGAATGTTTCAGTGGGCTAACAACTTCCACATTCGATATTTGGAAGTGGCAAATACAAAAGACAAGTTGAACAATTCCTTGTGTATTCGGCACACTAAATTAACAGAGCTAATAATCATATACGCTTAAAAAGGCATTGATTGTCTTTCCGGCATGAATTACCCAAAATTCAACTGCATATGAAAATCATATCTATTCCTGAATTACCAAAAATTATCAATATAACAACATTAGAGGTAACAGTTTGATCCTATAGACAATGAATAACTCCTATTTTATACTGTTAACAGACAACAGTATGGTCCGGACAACCAGGTCTCCAAGTACGCACCACACAGGCTAGAGCTATACAACAAGCAGCTAGATATTTAGGGGCTAAAACAGCCAGTTGACAGTTATGTTCCCAAGCCACAAGAAGAGTGGAAACTGAGCTAATGCAATCAAGAGCAAGAGCACATGATGTTTGCCTGAGTCATAACTCCTCACCTCTGCATACAAAACTCTCTTCATAGTCTTCACCAGAAAAATTCCCATGCTAAGGCAGGTCAAGAGTAACGTGACGTAATAAGAGTGTCTCCACAATAGTTTTCCAACAAGAGCCAAAGATATGCCTGTAAATGCATACCCTGCGTATGCCACGATATCCAACAATGGTGTTTCCCCACTGCTGAGTGACAGTAACGACATTTTGAGTAGTAAAACCTGTAAAAACCACCCCACTAATCCTTTCATGAGCAGCCAGTTTACAGTTTCTGGGTTAAACCTGAAATTTGGTAAAACAAGTGGCTAAGTTCAGAGTATAATAACCAGAAACCAATTTGGTAAAACAAGTGGCTAAGTTCAGAGTACAAAGACAAACAGAAACCCAGAAAAAGAATTCAAAATTTTTATCCACAGCTGAAAAGAAGCAGGAGGCTCAGGAATTATACTACTTTTGATCCTGGAATAACTGATTGAAGTAAAAAGGCCACAGAACCATTACGATAAGAAATTTAAGCATCAGAAAACGCAAAAAAAAATTACTGCCTCCAAATTCAAACTAGAGGAGCACTGATCAACGATAAAATCAAAGAAAGCCATCCTTAACCTTATGCCCTAGGTAAAGATTATGACTTCAAAGTCATCAAAGATAGAGATTTTTTCTTCTTTATCCACAGAATTTTAGGGCTTACCCCTCTATTGAAGCCCATATCAATCACTAAATCTTTGCATGCTACTTATGATGGAAAGGCACTCAATTTATAGAAGGCCAGAATCAGATCAAATCTTCTGCAAGTGTTGAGATTTTATTAAGATGGCATAAACTAAACAAATGGCCACCATTACACCTGTGATAAAGCCAGTCATCATCTCAAAGTACATAAGAAACCTAGTCTCACATTTGGAAAATACCTCCGGCCTCCAGACTCCAGAGTTAATTACATCTTGTTTTTTCAATATGAATTCACAAACTCTTTCAACAACCTCGAAATACAACCCAATGTATAATAAACCTCAAAGACAATGAGGTGATGAAGGTCCTACTGCGCCTAGGCACGCCTCCTCGGTGTGCCTCTTTGAAGTGAGGTGCACAATATAATACACTCAAAGAAATTTGCTTATGAGCACCTCAGGTTACGCCTCAATTGCATCTCATGCGCCTCTTTATATGTGCCTCGCCTAAAGCAAAATAGGAGCTCTACCCTAATGGCCAAATCCCTAGTGCCTCAGCATCTAGGCGCGCCTTTTTATACACTAATACAACCAGCCACCAATGACCTATCAATCAATCAAAAACCTTTAATCCCATCCATAGATGGGGTCGGCTACATGAAGCAAAAGTGATTATTCCGTATAGTCATCCACAAAAATCTTCTTCCTCCATCCCTTACGATCAAATACCTGATTCTCATGCAAATCCATATGCATAAAAATTGAGGTCAAAAGAATCTCATTCTACTGACTCACTTCCCAGAGATTTTCTAAACCTAAGTTCATAAAAACAAATACACTATACACGGTTTTTAAAAGTTGTTCCAACTTCCAAGTGCTAGAATGGGAAGGATTATGCTGGCCATCTCAAAGTGTACAGAAGAATCAATTTCAAGAATACTACTCAAATTAAACAGTCTTTCTTTATTGACAGGAAAGGTGTTGGGCCTCCATACAGGGAGCAGAACCAGCCCATACATGAAGCTCACACCTCACAGTCCACAAATATTCCTGTCCTACATATTCTAGATAATGGATCCCAAACAATTATGATACATATTAAGGTGGAGTCAAATCATAGAATAGACAGATAAAGTTTGATCCAAGACATGCACAAGTAAGCCAAATACTTACTTTCCATTCAGCCCCAAGGATAATCCAGCAAGCACAACATAGGAAAGAAATGCCATCATAGGAATGTATAGATCTGGTGCATTGATATCATAAATTGGAGGTTTGTAGGAGATTTTGCCTGCCATAGGCTCAGTGATCCTCGTCCAGTGCCCCTATATTAAGAAGATGTCAAGAGAAAAAGAATAAGAACGACATTGCAATATAATACAGAAATTTGCTTAACAACCGGACAATATAGGAATTGTGGAATAAAAAGCTTACCCGGTGCATAAAAGGAAACAGAACAACCTTCAACTTGTTCCTCACATAGTCATCATTCACTTGGAAATAATATTGCGGGTCAGCAAAGTACCTACTTATCTGTCAGATTTATCATCACAGCAAGTAAAAAAAATGAAAACACTTGAAACTGGAGAACAGAAATACAGTTAAAGGCCAGATGTAGGCCACATATAACCAAAACGGAATGTAGTCTCTCCAAATTGCATTATAAATTTTTAGTCATTAAGCAGAACAAGTCAGGAGAGAAAAAAGAAAGGGCTAAAACAATATGATGGCTGATAAATTATATATGGCCAAGACAGTTGAATCCACACCAACAAATACTACTCAAAGCCATTTTAATGACATTTCAATGCAACTGACAGATTTCAATAAGTCTTGTATAAGGCTGGCTTACATTAACTTTATTGTAAGACGGTCCATTTAAGGATAACTTAAACAGTTTTATGGTAACTTTAATTCCTTTAAGGATAACTTTAAATTTGCAATGGGCATGATTGTAATTTAATGTGCAAGTTCTAATGGATACATGCTATGAAGACTAATATGATTAATCCAATACATTTATGTAATTTTTAATGGTATAATTTATGTTAGGAAAATGGTAACTTTTGTAGTATATATAAAGGTAACTTTAAATACTTAAAAGAAATCTTTAGCCCTTCTTACAATAACTTAATGAAAGTCTGCTTTTATCAAGATTTACTTCAACTAAGTGACTTTATCACTCATGTACAATACTCCCTATGCAATAACAGCTATTTACTATTTTTCTTGTAAGCCCTTCATACCTAAATGTTTGCCTACTTCAACACTTGTAATTCACATCTTTCTAAGTTGAAGTAGTTTGGAGGATTGGAGGTAGTTTATGAAAAACTTGCAACCTAAACTTCTTAACAGCCAGAACTATTGTAGTAGGATGTTCATTTTGTGTATTGCTCACATTGAATTTTGTGATACAACTTTTGTCAAGGCATCTGTTTTACTAGAAGGTTATCCTCAAGGGTCCCATATATGCAGCTGAGTGTTTTGTAGGTCTAATGAATTTTCGTGGCAGAAACCATTTTTCATGTATTTGGAATCGATCAAAAAATGTTATGAGTCTTTGGTGTGTTTCTAACTCACATGACTAATCATGTGATTTCTCAGCACAAATAATTTAAAATTAAACTTCCAACCAATATCATGTGGTTTATGGCATTAATTGATAAAAATTTGAATATATCTATCAGCAAATGCTATATGTAGCCAAAGAAATCAAAATTCCACCATTGAACAGGTGAATTTAATAATAGCAAATCAAACACAATAAGTAATGTATAAAACAACTTGATCAGTATGTTTACGTCTGCTCACTCAGAAACACAACCACCATTCCAATATATAGATACAATTGTACAAGTGTTCAAACACTCTTTTATTAGCCAGCCTGATTGGTTTTACAGCTCTAATTCTCTAAAGGCATAGCAGTTGTAGCTCATTCTAAGTTAAAATTAAACTGCATTTCTTTGTGCACAGATGGGGAGGGGGGGGGGGTCAATGCAGAATTCGAGATGTCAACGAAGTTCATAAATATATGAAATAATCAACAAGCAATATCGGAGTAAGTACCAGGGTTCTCACTTTTCTAAATGATGAACAATTTCACTGGATTTTCTCAACAACCAACCAACAAAGTTATTCCTAAAATCTGCATCCTTCTACATTAGTAAAACAGCGATGTGACAATCCCATAGCCATGAATTCATCCAAGCTCAAGAAAATTAGATGCTAACTCAAGAAGCTTAATACATCATAGATTTTAACACAAAAACAGCATGACAGCCATAACAGATCCCTAAATAGAAAGAATACTGGCACTTACATTGCTTTGCACATACTCTGAGCTCGAACCAAATATTTTCTCTCCATATGCACTCAATCCACTGCGAAGCAACCCAGAACCAGCTCCAGTGAAAGCAGTCCCAAATGGACTAGCTTGGGGAGGAAACTGTGGCTGTTGGCCAGCTTGGCCCCCAGGCTGAACTCCCACGTTATTATACATGTTGGTTATCTGTAAAATTATAGCCAAAAGTCATCTAAAAGTAACATCATCAAAAGCACAAGCAACAAATTTCTAACAATACAGCTATCTCCTCAAAAGAATTACAAAAGCATGTAAACAAACTCCATTCCATATTACCTAACCATTAACATAGTCCGTATCATAAGTCCCTTTGAAATTTCTTTTTTTTTTGGAATCACCCTTTGAAATTTCAATGCACTAATACTTAATTTAAGCTACCAATCTATAGAGTATCACTCATAAGTTCAGAATGTCAATGCAACTAAAATTCTTGATCTAGCGCGAAACTGAATAAAACTTCAAACGACATCAAAAAAGATCGACAGTGACATCTTTGATCATAAATCAAGCAATAATGTAATTGCTAAAATTATATTTTTTCTTATAAAGAACTTTTTTTGAAGACATCTTATAAAGAACTTGGTTAAGGAAAAAAAAGGTCATTTATATAAATCCCACTACCTAGATTATGCTAAGACTAACAATTGACCTTCAAGAACCCTAAACAAAACTGAATAAATTGATTATCAAATGCTCTTAGATTCGATTATTTACATAAAAAAAACAACCCAAATAGCTTCACTAACTAATAGACCGTAAAAACCCTATAAATCCATTGCAATGACAGTGAAATTGAAAAAGAATGAACCCTTAATCGTTAAAACCCTAAAAAATAAGTAGCATATACAATTGAACATACAAATCTGGAAATTTTAAAAAAAAAATCTGAATTGAAATGAATTAAGCAATCAAAGAATATAGAGTAGATGCATTGATTTACCTGCGAATGAATTAGCGAGTGGAATCTGGAAATAGTGGAAAATGGCCCAAAAAGATCCTCGAAAATCGATTTGGGGGAAGGAGGAAGGAAGAAGAACGGGGTTTCTAGATGTAAGAGACGAAGAGCAATATAGTCTCTTCAATCGTTGTGCTGTACTTCCTCTTTTCTTTTTACTCCCTTGTATGTTTTGCTAATAATTACAAGATTTTTTTTATTTATTTTTTTGATTAATCGTTAAGTAATACTCCCTCCGTACCAAAATGATGATGTACTCGTAGTTGTATAGTTCGTATATTACTCCTTACTTCATATTTAAAACATTTTAGCTTGCATGAACTTTAATGTAATTGAGATGAATTTGTTAAGATATTGAGCAAGTGAAGGTTTCTTTCTTTTTCTTTTTAATAAGAGTGTAATTAGGATTTGTTGCGGAATTAAATAAAAATAATAAAACAGTAATAGTGGGGGAATAGTTTAGAGACTTTATACGTAGAACAAAATGATTAGGATTGGTTGCGGAATTAAATAAAAAAAAAAAAAACAGTAATAGTGGGGGAATAGTTTAGAGACTTTATACGTATAACAAAATGAGCAAACAAAAACGAAGACAGCACACAACTCGCTCTTTAGAAGCCATTAAAATAAAATTGATTTGTCCTTCACTATCATATAGCCATTTCGGTGCAAAAAACGAACAAGGTGCGACATCAATCTAAATTGCTAGCATGGAAAGTTGCCATATTGAATAAACTTTCACAGTCAACACAAATCATGGATATTTTATCTCATTTTTCATTCCACATAACGAGTACGCAACATCATGCGTCATAGTAATCTTTCCTACACCACCGCATAATTTCTCCTGCGCGCTCTATACCACCACATCATTTCTCTTGCAAGCTCTATACATATAATGCTTCAATTCCGAAGGACCATTTAGACCCAAAGTGAGATGCTAATTATCATACTCCTCCCACAAATCAATTCCGTAATGCATGTGTTTAGTGGTCTAAATTAGCAAATTAGACCTATTTTGCATCTCATTGATTGTGAATGAAAAATCTCCATTCTTCATTGGTGACTAATATAGTTTGTTAGCTAGCCAACAATTTGATGTTGTATTTAAAAGATTTAGCTTTAAGCACCAAGAGAATAAAGAGCCTTGAGTATTACTTCCTCAATTCTCTTTTAGTTGCAACGTTTTGACTTTTACTCTTGTATATGCATAATTTTAACTCATATATATATATCTAATTATACACAAGTAAAATGAAATTTGATATCGTGAAATTGTAAATCAAGATGCCACATAATTATATTTTATCCAACACGTAAATCAACAAATGCAGTACAAAAAAATATATAAATAATGTAAATTTTCTAACGTTGTGAGTGAGAGAGAATGAAGGAAATATGAAGACATTCTATTTTTATTTTTATTTTTATTTTTTGAAAAAATGAAAACATTCTACTATGTATTTGTTTGTCTACTACGGAGTAATACTTGATAAAAAACATTTTGGTCTTTAAAGAAAAGGAAAATCCATTCTTTAATAGCTATATGCACCTGAACTATTTTGGACAATTTTTTTTAATTGGCAAAATTCGATCTAAATAAAAGCCTTATCAAGCAAGCCAACATATATCTATATGAATGAAGATACGTAGAGGGGATGTATCATGTGTATGGTACACCCGAAAGTACATTACATATAAATAAAAGAACATTTGGACAAATTTAATGTTATTTTATTTGTATGTAATGTTCTGATTTTATAAAGCCTCGTTTATATGTAACGTTCTTTATTTTATATGAGCAAAATTAGCCTCAACAACCTCAATTATAGGTTGGAAGCAGAGGATAGCACAACCTTATTTGGGTGCACTCTACATCACAAGTACACAGAATGTCATAAATGAAATCGGATGATGGAGAATTTGTCGAAAAAGTGTATTTTTTTCATTTTATTATTTTAAACCAATTTTTTCATCCTATTTAAATCTTCTCTAATTTATTTAATTACTTTAATTATTATACTTAGGGGCCGTTTGGTTAGGGGTTTTCATCAAAGGGAATGAGAATCAACTGAGCCGATTCCCTTTGTTGTTGTTTGTTAGACACTTTCTTTCAATCCCTTTACCCCCTCCATTACCCCCAAATCCTTCTAACTTCATTCCCTATCCCCCCCTACACTTTCCCATTCCCTTTCCTTAGCCACCCATCCACCACCACACCCACACTAGCCACCACCCTTTTACTTTACCCTCACCACCCAACTGCCACCAGTCACACCTCCACCGCCATCGCTGCCCTTTCCCCGACCACCTCCACCCCTTCCCCGACCACCGCCGCCCACCGATAAGACCCAGATCTAACACCCTCACAATTTCACAAACCCAAACCCACCGGCTCACCATCGTCGACACCCCATATCGACTCACCATCCCCGAGACCCCCACAACCCAAACCCACCACTGCTAACACCCTCGCCGAGAGCAGCGGCGAGGGTAGAGAGTAGCGGCGACAAGCAGCAGGGCAGCGTTTGGTGGGGGGCGAAGGGCGGTGAGTGGTGGTTGGGGATGTGCGGCGAGTTGGTGGGGGGCTGGGTGGTGGCTGGGAAATGTGGGAATTGAAGAAATAAGGTGGCTGTGTGGTGGTTGTGTGGTGGTGAAGTTGGTGATAGTGTTTCCCTTTGTTTTTAAAACAAACAACTTCCATAATTTTGGGTAATTTTATTCCATTCTCTTTCTTTTCCTTTGTTCATTCCATTCTGTTTACCCCGTGTAAACCAAACGACCCCTTAGCTTGTGGCCCTAATCACTTTTCTTTGACTTATTTTGTAATGACATTTATGATAAATTGCAACGAATGGATTATGTTTGGCAAAATAAATCGAAATCTAACAGAAATTAAAAATCATCCAAACAACAACAATTCTACCAGCGGCACCAATCTTCGGTCGCCCCACATCCAGCGCATTTCTCCCATTGTCATACTTTCTGGTTTTCCTTCATAAAACGCGTAAGCTTACTTCAAATTCCGAAATTCAAGTCAATTACTATTTAGTTTAGGATCTTGATTGATATTTTCTGCACCTTCAGTATCATCATATTTGAAATTTGGGTTCTTTTATTGTTCTTGTCACTTTGTATTATATCGAATTTTTTTGCTCTAATATGATATTGGTATTATTGGTGTTTATATACTTATATTGTTGTTGCTAATTTTTTTGGTTGTTTAATTAGTTTTGGATGGATTGGTGGAGTAATGTTTGCATTGGATGTTTTTTTTTCTTTTGGTATTATGGTGTTTGTTGATAGAGGCAATTAGGCAATACTTCTAATTATCTTGAATTTTAATTTTGTAATGGTGTAGGCTATGATGAATTTTAATTTCTTGCGGTATTATGATGAATGAATTGAATGAGTTTTGGCTAAAAATAAAAGCTTGTAGCTAAACTCAATTGGTGTATTCAGTTTAGACTTGATTTGTATTGTTAACTATAGCATCATGGGTGTATTTGGGTACATGTTTAATGAGCTTTACCCTTTCATCATAATGTATTTTTGATTGAAAAAATAGAATCTGATTGTTAATGGTTTTTAAGTTAAATAACGTTAGTCGTGTTAAATGTTAAACTGTAGAAGCTGAAAATACTGGCTGTGAAGTGTAATTCCTCCAGAAATAAAGTAGTTTCAATTGAAAAGCCTAAACCATAATTACGAGGTCAATGCCAGGTCTACCACCATCTCCCCATTTTTCACTCTTAGATATTATTTTATGGGTGGGTCAGGTGGGGTTTTGAAGAGGGTGTATGGCATGTGCCTTGGTGAGGTGATTTTTGGGGTGGGTAGTGTGGATACTTAGTGATAGATTGGTGGTTTCGTGAAGGGTAGGGTGTGTGATTTCAGGAGTGGTTCTTTGATCTCCCTACTTCTTCCCAAATAAGGGGGAGGAAAAGTTCTTGGGAGATTGAGGTAGTGGGAGAAGATGGGTTTGCTGGATATATGTTTCCAAGAGTTATATACAATTGGAAATGCTGCATGTATTACTGCTGTACACAAGATTTTGGGTCCCTTAGCATAAAAGCTTGAGGCATGATGTCAAATTGTCAATGCAGGATGAGATGAAACTGATAGCTTGGTCAGATTGAACATTGCCTTGGTTGTTGGCAGTCTGAATGGCTGAGTAATCGTGTCTTGTTAATTTATGGTTATAGCTTTAACCCACATGTATTAACATGTTATGTCATCCACATGCTTACTAGAACCTAGAACCTATACAAATTTGATATCATAATGCGACTTATTAAAGAGGCTTGAGTATGTGTTAACATGTGTGTCTTCTTGTGGTAGCCTGGTTGGCTGAGCTAGCTTAGGAATTAAATGTTGATTCTCTTATGGAATTGATCATTGCGTGCATGCCTTTTATGAGGTTTAAAATTTATCGTCAAGTGTTCGCTGGTTGCAATGTCGATTTTTAGCACTACCTCCTGACCTGAGAATATGTTCTTTCTCCTTCACTCTACTTGTGATTGTGCCAAATAGGTATTTATAAACCCTCTGTCTTTTTTTTTTTTTTTTTTTTTTTTTTTTTTTTTTTTTTTTTTTTTTCTTTTTTTTTTTGTAGAAAACTTCATGGATCCCAAAAATGCTGCAGAGATGTTGAAGTATGTTTTTTCTTTGAATCTTTGTTTCACACTCCCTTAAGTTTTTATTGTATTTTTATATCAGCTTTACTTTCTTTTCTGTCCTTTTTTAATGAGTTAATTCTTTGTTTTTGTAGGCACTTGGAGAAGCAGAATGAGTTACTTGATGATGCTCATAAGAAAATGTCTCATGAATTGCATAGGCTGCAGGTCTTTTACTGTTTTTGTCGTTAATATATCCGTGTTTATTGCAGATATTGGAACCATACATGATTTCTCGGTGGAACATAAAAGACATTTAGGAAAAGCTATAGAATTTATCTTTGACTCTTTGTATTTAGTTCTAGTTTATTCAAAACATGACCTGATGGTACATTTTGAAGGATCTGACATATTGTTGGTGTTGAATTGTTAGAACACCTTAGTTATTTCTTCTGTTTTCCTCTTTGGATGAGTTTAAGCATAAATATGATTATTCTGATCTCATGGACTTACAGGTAGAAGAAGAAATGCTAATGCGTAAATTCTATGAGCTCACATCTGCTTTGGGCTTGAATAAAAAGGTATGTTCATACATTTTGATGTTATGTGTTTAAACTTTACATTTTCAGCTGTATATCTACTTGATGTTAAATCTGTAGGTTAGAAAATTGAATCAAAATTGTTGATTAACATATACCCTGTTCCATTTCATGTGATCCTTTTACTTTTAAGAGTGCTATCCTTATAGCTTTTTCGTGATCGATTCATTTTGAGTTTCCTTACAGTTTTGTTGTGATTGTGATATTCTCCAACAAAAGTTTGATTATGCTTTCCAAACTATCATATATCCTCCTTCCTTCTGGCTTGCTGGAACATTTTAGTAAATCCAATCCTTTATGTAAAAGGTTGGGTTAACGGGATGAATAACAAGGAACAAAGAAATATACAAAAAAATTGATTTTTTGAAGGAATGGCTAACTTGTAGGCTTATAGCTCTACAGCTGTTTCACATTTATGCCTCTATGAATTTCCTTCTTTGAACTCCCCACTTCTTCATTTTTTGTGTTCACTTCCCCATTACTATTCACTTCCCCATTACAGTGTGCGCAAACTGCTGTTGATTTGTTAGACAAATTTACCTGATACTATCTTGGAATATGGTCACTTTAGACAAACCATATAATCTCTTACCCGTTATTAAGCAGTTGATGTCTTTATGTGAACCAAAAATGCTGTTTAGTTGCCTCGTTTGAATTTAGTCTCCTCCTGTTGGTCCTGGTTTTGTGCTTCTACAATATAGATATCACTTGAATATGGTGGTAGAAATATGTCACTTGTGTTATCATTGAAATAGCATAGGCATAAAAAATTTGGAGTTGTTGCAAAGCCACTAGCTACATTCTATACAGCTCTCAAACATACCTCCTGTTCCCTTCTTTAGTTCTTCCTTTTATTTAAAGTTCTTCTATAATGAGTTACCTGATATTTGAGTTTCACTTTACAGAGTGAAGTGAACAGAATAGCATATATTGATACAGAGAATGAAGAACGGCAAGAACCTAACACTCTAACTGATGAAAGAAATGAACGGCAATGAGTTTTTTTTGGTGGATGGGATCAGCTCAAGAATTGACTAGTAGCTGCAAAAAGGAGCTGCATTGTAGTAGTAAACTTGTAAGATACTTATTAGCTTCAGAATTCTGGGGATTCAAGAATTTTGAAAGTAGTTTGATATCTTGTTTCTTGTTTTTGTATAAAGCTGTACTTGTATATACTTACAAGGGGAGTTTGTTTAGATCAAAATTATATAGAAGTACGTAAGGATTTACTAGTTCAATAGAGAAAGTTCAAATTCTCAACAAAAAATGAATTTTGGTTAGCATTTCCAATAACAAATGCGACTTCGATGTCTAAGAAAAAAAGAGAAAGAAAATGGGGAGAACATTAATCTAATAAAAATCCACATTACAGATTTACAGTAACAAATACTTTGTACAAGTATATTGTTAGATAAGTTTTACTGTACGAAAATGTTAATTGTTGTAAATTTAAATACAAAGAAGTAAAAATAGATGTATTCAGTTACGAAGTATTATTTAGATTTTATTTTTCTTTCTGAAAAAAATAAATTATAATCTAACTATAGTCTAATGTAAGTTTAAAACCACAAGTCCATAATTTAAAGAAATTTTTTAAAATGGAATGAGTATAAAGGCAAGTGAGGTCTTTCAAGAAAAAATGTAAATGAAGTGAAATGATTGTGTCTTATATTTTGAAGTGTAAACAGAATCACAACATCAGAGTGGCGCAGCGGAAGCGTGGTGGGCCCATAACCCACAGGTCCCAGGATCGAAACCTGGCTCTGATAGATTATGAGAAAGCTTCCTGCCCATTTTTTTTTTTTGGTTTTCAATATTATGTATTGAATCTGACTTTTTTGTTAATAATATTCATGTATTGAATCTGTATTTTCTTATATGCTTTTGAAAATCTAAATTGAATCAATATGCATTGGCATTGAATCAGGTATCTTTACACAAAATCACATTCAATCTTCCAGTAATCAAAGCTTAATTTGAATGCATAATGCTGGTTAAAATATTTGTGGCACTCAGAACAGTCATCTCACTGATTATCACCACCAATCCTGCTACAAGATACTAAGTTTATGATTCTCCATTGTGACTTGGGCATCAAAAATCCGGTTAAGCGTAGCAGCTAAGCGAATCCCACCTTTAGCTAACCTTTTCTCCACGATTGGCAGCCTCGAAAGAAAGTATTCATCTGTTACAAACAAATTGATAACCATTTTAGGAAGCAAATATATGCAATATGCATCAGTAAGACTAACAATGATGCTTGTATGGCAGTAGTGTAATGACAAGTTTTATCTACGACTAGGTTAGTAGCCTACATTTTACTGTGCAACCAAGAGATCACATTTTGTTCTATTTTACATGGATTATCTTCTCTGATTAAGAAAATGCATATTTATGTAATTATTTTTTAATATTGCCAAGATAGGAAACTAAGGATATATACCATCCAAGTGGCTTCCTGGTGTAGCATTCTTGTACGCGTATTTACAAGCCAAAGAGATACTCTCAGATGCGTACCTGCACAAGTTTAGAGTATTACATTACCTCTGTTGAGCAGGGGAGATTATGAAAATTTCTGAAAACACACAGCATGGAGAGTGTAAGTAGAAACTTACGGAATAGGACAGACTGTATGGTTACATTTTTCCCAGATTTTGATCTCATTGGACCAGTCATCCTGATCAAGTGATCATACAAAAAAATTTAACATGAATATTAGATGTTGGTACAGACAGTTGGTTTAGTTTCGCGCAGTGCATCACAATATGATGCTAGAGGAAACAAATCAAACAAGCGCAACATTAGAAAGTATGCTGAAACTACATCTCTGATTTACCATATAGTATATACTGTCATACAGTTCCTGAAATCATTTTTACTGATGTGATAGCGATCAAAACATTGATTCAGCAAAGAAACCTACCGTGATATTACTTAATAGTGCTCCTATCATGATTGTCAGATTTGAATCATAAAATTTTTCCAAGCCAGAATCAATGATTGCTGTGTCCCATACCTAAGGAAAAAATTTCATTTAAATTCATACATAACATCATACATCGGCATATAAGACTAAAGAATGGTTTAGCATTTATTTAGAGTAAGCAAGGAAAAAAGAGAAGGAAAAACAGGAACCAATACAACAACATACATGATGCAAGTTAGTGCTTTGATTGTACCAAGTGACATTAATCAAATTTCCACCTTGATCTCCGACGAAGCCAACATGTAGAGGCTGCATTTTTATAAATAAAACCACCATTTATAAATTGATGATGCCAATTTTATTCAGTAAGCAACTCTACCAAATGATTTAAGGAATTACTCGGGACTTAAAAGAAATGAGCACGTACATACCTGATGAATGTCACCAGAAAAATGAGACAAGAACATGAGAGCTTCTGTTAAGTTATCTATGAATACACAGTACATTCTATGAGTTAGATTAATAGAAACTGAAAGACAAAGTAATAAACGTATTTGTAGAGCATATACGACACACATTTCTGTTGAGCACCATAGTTATGGTAAGCTGACACAAGTTGTATGGTGTAATTGTACATTGCTCCAATCACACATCTATTTTTTTGGTTAGCAGAATCATGACAGTCTCCTGTAATGTAAAAATGAAAATAAGAAGTCAACATTATACTATAATATACTATCGAGTTTTTCATATAGTATGGTTAGCTGAGTTCAGACTCTTCAGAGTCTTAAGACAATATTGACAGTAAAAAGAAAACTAGCTAAACTGTCAAAATATTGCTGGATTTCTGGATCGGCCACTGCATCCATGGTAAATTAAGTAAAACTTACGGCAATAATCATATTTGCAGACAAAATTTGGGGTGTTAGTATAATGTAATGCAGAACTCCAGGGATATCCTTTACGAATCTCAGACAGATCAGGCCAAGAACAAACAGCTGCTAGTTCGCCTTTAGCCGACTCAGGCAACAATCCTTTGACTGCAGCCTTAGCATCTTCAGTAAGAAATTCCTAAAAACAATAGCATTATCATTTGCAACATTGCATCAGACAAAATCCATATATGGATCCGATAACTAATTTTAATCATAAAAGTCATGCAAGCTAGATTGACTGTCAAATTTTGAAATTTTACTAGAAATTGGTACATAAAAACTTCACTTCAAACTCGAAAAATTAGATTGATCAACCTTAATCTGATCCGAACAACTTGTTTGACACGTCTAAGTAGTCTAATACGGAGTACATGTTTTTAAACACGAGTTCTTACCTCGGCTATTTTACAAGTTGCATAATGGCCATGTTGTCCCCAACAAAGAATTGCAGGAACCAAGTGCATAAAAGTAAGCACCCCAGCAATCCAATTAAGCTTCATTGACTTCATAGCTTCTGAAATTGTTATCCAACAGAAAAAAATAAATAAATAATAAATTAATCAACTTTTCATAAATACTTAAATTTGTATAAACTATTTGCAAATATCACCTTAACCAAGATACAATGTGAAGTGTTTTAGAGTGGTTGGCTAGATGAATCAAACTACGATTTTGTTGTTACTTTATATGTAAAGATTTGGAAAAATTTGAGTTTGTTTATTATTATAAGCAACTTTGAGATCAGCATTGAGATTTTTAAATTGTTCATTTTTTTATACTTCACTATTATATGTTACATTATCTTCTTAATATTCCATACTGTACTATTTTTAATTTGAATTGGAGCTACTCCAAGCTACTTGTATTTTTCTATTACTACCTCCATTACATATTATTTGTAACGATTTGACATAAACTAGGGAGAAAAAATGTCTAATTCGTTGCAAATAATATGTAACTGAGGTAGTACATCCTTTATCATCGACAATTCAACATGTGAATTGTGTATTAGGGACTAAAATAAACAGAAATTGATACACCCTATGTAGTTAAGTATTTAATATTAATACTTGTAATTGATTACTAGTAATCCAATAGAGTAGTAGATATAAAGAACAATAAGTTAACGTAAAGCTGTTGGAATAACTAAATACGAAGTAAAACACATGTGCGGACGACTTGGCCTACTCATTAGTGAGTATTTCGTAGTAATCAATTATACAGAGTATATACCAATGAGGTCTTATCTTAGTAGCTAAGCGCTTAAGAATTAGAATTTGTTATGTTACCCCATTTGTAATTTTCATTTGTAAGGTTGTACTGTACAGAGTATTGCCCAATGAATCTAAAGTCTAAACCGCTTGCTCCATCATTATTTCCTAACTACATCAATATAAGCGAGGTCGACTCTAGACATGAGTTTGTGTCTTTGTGTGAAAATTCTAACTTTGGTCACCTTAAGCCATCCTATATGACACTCTCTAGGCCATAAATAATCAAATCAATATAAACGAGGTCATAGACTCTAGACATCGGTTTGTGTCTTTGTGTCCAAAGCTCAAAATCATTTCAATAAACATTTGTAGAATCTCTCTCCCAATTTCCATTTCCCTCAGAATTCAGAGGAGCAAAATTAACCATGAAAGCAGTAGTTATAACAAGCCCAGGAGGTCCAGAAGTGCTGCAATTGCAAGAGGTTGAAGACCCCCAAATCAAAGACGATGAAGTTTTAATCAAAGTTGAAGCAACTGCCCTTAATCGAGCAGATACCATTCAGAGGAAGGGCTCTTACCCTCCCCCACCTGGGGCTAGTCCTTATCCTGGTCTAGAATGTTCTGGAACCATCCTTCAACTTGGCAACAGTGTCACTCGCTGGAAAGTTGGTGATCAGGTTACAATTTTTTTCTTGTTCTGCTTCAATTTTCGTATTATTTGGAGTTTGGTGATTTGGGTTTTTATAATTTTTAAGAAAAGTTGTAATCTTGTCATTTTTTTTTATATGTGGGGTGTTGATTAACTTGTAGTTTTGTTTTATATGCGATTGAATTGATTAATTTATCATGTTAATTTGTGCACTTTCTCTTTGCAAATGATATTGGTTACTATGGATGGATTGTGATTAAATTTGGTTCAATAAGTTGTTGATTGATAATAGTGGAAGTAACCTAAATGTTTTTAGGTAAGCTGGTTGTATGTTTGAGGTAGCAAAATGATCAGTAATGCTAGAGATGAAATGCATTTAGAGCTGGCCGAAAATTGTCCCTGAAAGTTTTGATTTTGAATGTTGTAAACCCAAAAGCTGGCTAAACCTAAGCTACCTGAATCAACTATCGTGGAAGAGGGAGAAAATGGAGAAGAGAGAGAGAGAGAGGGGGGGGGGGGGGTGGAGGGGGGGTTCTGACCCAGAAGGCGCTTGAGTTGGAGCATTGTGGTATTATGGAGTTGATTGGGAGTATACTATTGTAAACTAGGCATGTTGGTTAGTATACCCAAATAGACTGTTGGTGAACAAATTATAGAATTGTACATTGGTAATTGGTGGGTTGCCTCTTATTATTTTGTAAGAACTATCATTTGCTGATTTCTGATGCATTTGTTCACTTGTATTAGCATAATATACAGCATCAGTGATCAGCCACAAGAACATGAGGAATGTATTGTAAATGTGAAGGAATATGACTGACCTAGAAGTGGTTTAAAAAAAAATGACTGACCTAGTAGTGTTGTAGCATCTGATTAAAATTTTGCTATTGTATTAATTTAGCAACCCTGACTCATGAGTTCTGAGTTCTAGTTGTGTGCACCTAACAGATAGATAAGATAATTTGTTACAGCAGACTTAGTATGATTTTACTAGAATACTAGTGCATTCATTAGATATCGACTTGCCTATACTGTTATAAAGGTCATATGCTTCTGCTCTCCTTTGAAGTGTTTAAGTGTCATTCATACATATTTCTAAGAATTTGGTATTTTGGATTGAAATTGGTGTTTGAGTATCAAAGCCTCAAAGGTAAGCTATCATGCTATAATGATGATGAATGGTGTTTGCTATAATGTAGGTGTGTGCGCTTCTTAGTGGAGGAGGTTATGCTGAGAAAGTGGCTGTTCCTGCCGGACAGGTTCTTCCTGCCCCAGATGGTGTTTCTCTCAAGGATGCTGCAAGTTTCCCAGAGGTGGCATGTACTGTTTGGTCAACTATTTTCATGACAAGCCGGCTTTCAGTAGGAGAGGCATTTTTGGTAACTTACAGACTACTCTGATTTTGTATCTGTCACTGTTAAATAGTTTTATATGACCATGTCCCTTTCCTGCATTCTAAAAAGTCTCTATGTATAAAAATTTGTTCAATTAGGCCTCTAGGCTGTGCTTTGGTTGTTGACCACATGACCAAATGTGAGGTTCATATATGAACTTCAAGAAATTCTAGTATCATCAGTTACTGTGATTCTGTGAAGCATTCATATATAACATAAGTGGTAGGAAAATGCAACAGCAAACATTTAGATTTGCAGTTTTCTTACTAATTTCAAATCCCTTTGGAATGTTTTGATGAATATTTGTTGTTGGTTTTCATGCTACTTGGGGAGATTTGTGATTTTCTTTTGTCAAAACTCAAAAGGTCTACTGAGAGAAAAACCAAAGAGAGTTATAAGTTTGTTGTCAAATTACAATCTTCTGCTATCTGTGTGTATCATCGGGTGCTATCTCATTTAATGATTTGTTCTTATGCTATCTTTCTTTGAAAGTGGCTGATGAACAATTCTTGCAAATTTTGATTTTCTCTACAATCACTATATTTACAGGTTCATGGGGGCTCTAGTGGCATTGGCACTTTCGCTATTCAGACAGCTAAATATTATGGAGCCAAAGTATTTGTTACAGCAGGTTGACAGACTTAAGTTGTATTTTTTGGAGAATCGAGTGGGTTAAAAATTAAGCTTAAAGGTCTATAATTTGCTCTCTTCTCTAGGTTCTGACGAAAAGTTGGCATATTGTAAAGATCTTGGAGCTGATGTGTGTATCAATTACAAGACAGAAGATTTTGTTGGGAGAGTAAAAGAAGAAACAGCTGGAAAAGGTATTATTTGTGAGGAACAGATCATATGTGATGTAGTACAGACTACGGAGTATTCAAATTGTTTTTTGATGTCTGAAACCTTCTTTGTTTACCAATCTATTGTTTCACTTCCTTTTTGTGATGTTACATAATTTGCCACTTTCTTATGATTGACATACTCTTCTTACGACCCAGCCAATGTCTAGTACAGAGAAGTGAACTATTTTGGCAAGGGGAATGTTTCCCTTTATCCTTGCTATCTTAGTAAGAATAATTGATTGTATTGAACAAACAGGTGTTGATGTTATATTGGACAACATGGGAGGAGTTTACTTGCAGCGAAACATTGACAGCTTGAATTTTGATGGACGGCTTTTTATTATTGGCTTCCAAGGTGGATCTACCTCACAAATCAACCTTGCAAGTTTAGCAGCAAAGAGACTCACGGTGCAAGGTATGCAGATTTTTTTTTCTACACAATGCTGGCATTTTATTGCTTTAGAAAGTTTTGTAGGAATTTCTCTTAATCACAACACTTTTGTAAGTTAGCAACATGATCACTCCAATCCAACATCCTACCCTATAAATGACACAAAAATCAGCAACCTCATGTCCACTGAAGACACCCTTAGTTGTCGAGGATCATGACAGTTTCCCGCGCATGCTGGGCCTGTTCAACTTGTTGGTCAATGTGGAGCGGGTTTAGTTCTGTAAAGGGTACACAACCTCACCTTAAGGAAAATTAATTTACAACATCCTGTTCCATCTTTAAACCCTTCTGACATTTAATTATGTTTTTTCATATTCACCACTGCAAAGTCTACAATTGGCATACTTAGTAGTTTGGACAAGATAAGATGATTTATACTCCTGATCGACTGTTACATCGATCAATAACGTTTCACTACTTTTTTTTAGCTGCTGGCCTGCGGAATAGAACTCCAGAGAACAAAGCGCTTATTGTGAAGGAGGTAGAGAAGAATGTGTGGCCTGCTATCAAAGAGAAGAAGGTGAAGCCTGTAGTTCACAAGTACTTTTCTCTCTCACAGGCAGCTGAAGCCCATCAGCTTATGGAAAGTAGCAAGCACATTGGCAAAATATTGCTTCTTCCATGATAGATGAGATGGTTCTACCAATCAGCTCCGACTCAGAACAAGTGCAGTATATATACCCGTAGAAACAACCTAAATGGCCAATTGTTCTAGCCATAGTTCATTTTTTTTTTTGAAATAAGTTCTAGCCATAGTTCATTGTATTATGCATGTTGGATATTTAAGTTTTTGAGAAGATCTACAGTCAATAAATGAAATCTTACATTGTTGAGATTTTAATGGTTTGTTTCTTTAAGAGTTAAGATGCTTATTTGACATACTACCTTCGTTAATGATTATCTGCAACTTTGTAGTATTATTTGTGAGATATAAAATATTCCAGTTGCAAATAACCATTAACAGAGGTAATATGTTTTACTTGTATACATAGTGGTGTTTGTTTTGGATTGTTACAAACAAGTATATAAGTGTCCTTATTTCTCAATTCAAGCTTGAGGAAAAGGCCAATTCAATCTTGAGGCAATTTCATGCCACGAGACAAAAAATATCGCCCCATTTCTCATTCAAAAA